GAGAGAGTTTCTATCTTTCAAATTTCTGAAACAAGTTAAAATGAAAGGCTTAGTTGATTTTTAGCCTTAACTTCGGGTTTATACAACCCTTGTGAAACAACGTTGTTTCAAGGGGTGGGAGTCGCGCGTTTTGCTACCAGGGGAAATAGCATTCTAGGTCCTCTTAAATTTGTAATCCTTTTATTTTAACCATTAAATGAAGTGAGTTTATTGCCTTTCGAACCTTGTGATATATTCATATTTACATTTTGGCCTATGCTCATTTTAGATTTTATTTTAATTAATTATATATGATATTTGGGTTTATTTACAACCTTAGTCCCTGTTATTTCTATTTTCCTTTAATTTAGCTTTTTAGTTAATTTTATTGTTTTATATATTTAACCTTCATAGTATTATATTATTTTTTATTCTTTTATTCTTTTATTATTATTATTATATATAAAAGTATATTTGACTATATTATTTTATTAAATATTAAATATTAATATTAATATAGTATGATAGGTACATTTACTATACTTTATTAAATTTAATTCCTTATTATATTTTTATTATACATATATTTTATGTTTATGCTATTTTAGTTGTGTAACCAACAAGAGTTCTCATCTTATTCGATTAACCTATGGAAAACCTCCAAAATTTGGAGTGCTCTTTCGAGGGTTATTAGAATAAAGTTAATATTTTATTATTATTATTCAATATTTGTTTGCATTCTATGTTAAAAATGTTTCATTTTAAAGATATCTTTTTATATATATGAAATTGTTTTAATAAATAAATATTTATTGTGTGTTTATTTATCTTAGTATCTCGTTGTTGTTTTTTTGGGTTTATTTATTTATTTGTTACAATATGTGAATATTTCATCCATCTTGTACATGTCATTTATAATTGTTGCATCCAAGAATTATGCATTTTTTTTTTCTCTTTTTCTAAAATGACCAAAAGCAATGTTGTCTTGCATCGTGGGTTAACGAAATTACGTTCAATATGACTGGATTTCAATTTTCTAATCCACATAGTAGGGGGACACCCTTTTCAAATAAAATCGAGTGAATTAAATTATTTTCACCGAGTCAAATATTTTAAAATTATATTCACTTATTCTTTTAAAAATCATAGAAATAAAAGGATCCTAATTTGAATTTTGAATTCGAATTTGTAAAAATCCACTACTTAGACAGCGTATAATCGATATGTACTAATTTTGGGCGTTGTGGGGTGTTAATCCTTCCCCACGTGTAATCAACTCTCAAATCCAAAAAATATTGAATTTCTGGTGACACGTAGACCGAATTTTGTCTTTAAAATGATTTTTCTTAAAATTGTTTTAAAAGACATTTTTAGGTATTAGACCTACCTAATCCAAAGGTCGATAACGACTCTAAATTTCAAATTAACCAAAATCCAAAATTTCCAAAATAGAACCATAATTATTTTAAATAAAAATTCACATTTTCCAAAATAAAGTCATAATTATTTTTAAATTAATTTGTTCTATAAAAAATGGTTATGACAAGAATCGTTTGAGTTGTATTTTGTAGATCGACTTTTCGTTTATATTATGTTGTCAAGCACTTCTTAAATTATTATGTCACTAAGTCAGTACTTGAAAGCAACGGTTGTGCCAGTAGACATATATAAAATATGATTTTATCATATCCTAGTCAGCAAGTTAAGATCCTAATCAGATGAGCATCAATTTTTAACTAAAATGATAATTTTAGAACATATGAATAGTCAGGTGACTATTTTGTAACTTTAATTTGTTTGAGGACTCAACAAAGTAGCGTCATATTGTCAAAGACCATTTTACACCTATTAATAGTCAAAAGACTCAATAAAACAATGTCCTATAATCGATAGATCATTTGTATACTTTACCCTTATATTTATTTATATTTGTTTTTCGATTTAAATAAATAACCATGAATAAGAATATAAGAACAATATACAATACCAAAAAAAACAAATAATTCAACTAATGACCTCATGAATAAAAAGGAATATTATTTTTTCTAAAAAAATATACTCAAATAATTATATATATAGGTTTAGTATATGTAATTAATAGATTAAAAGAATTTTAAATAAATATTATCTTTTAATAACTCTCTACGATTAAAAAAACTAAAGAAAATATGTGAATTAGAGTGTTGATTTGGTTTTAAGGTATATCTTCTTTTGGGGGAAATTACAAATACTGTTTATTGAAGAAATAATTATGGAATCCAAATATCCACAATCCTTGTCGAGTGAATTATGTCATTCATTCCAACAAGATTTCATATGACATTGTTTTGCCTTAAAAAAAGAGTAAACTACACCAAATACTATCAAACTTTAGGTGATATGTCATTATACCATTGAACTTTCAATTTTTCCAATTATAACACTGAACTTTGACTTTCTTTCAATTATACCACTGGCTCGATAAATCGTTAACAGAAAGGTCAAAATGACGTCGTTTCGGTGAGGTGTCTATGTCGATAGTCATCTTCCATGTCATCGTGTCATTAATGATTTAATGATCCATTGGTATAACTGACAAAATTAAAAGTTTAGTGGTATAAACGATACATCAACTAAAGTTTGGTGGTATTTGATGCAGTTTACCCAAAAATACCCAAAAGATAAAGGGGAAAAACACAACATTTTTGTCACCATTCAATAGAACCTTTTTCCAACAACTTTTCCTCATAAATCATCAGGCAGTTGAAAGTACTGGGAACCAAAAATTTGTTGAGAAATGTTTTGAACAAAGACAACAACGGAAGACTTGCTGCTATTGAAACCATCCCAAAGAGTGAAAGTGACAGTGACTGAGAGCGTCTTCTTGGCGGATATGTCGTCGACGGTGCACAACTTCTCGAGTTTCTGTACGACGAAGTCGTTGTAAAGCACCTTGCCTTTGTTCTCTCCGGAAAGGCACTCATTAACCAACCCACTCTCGTATAAGGCCACCATTACGTTGTCAACGTTGTTGTCTACCTTGTACCTTAGTGCCCCGGTTAGGGTTACTTCTAAGGTCTCCGATGTCGGCCTTTGGAAATTAGCCTGTTACATATATTGCATGTATCAAACGTCCTCAAATTCTGTTTTAGATTCTAAATTAATTTAAATTTTAAGATATTGCAATTGAATCTTAAAGTATTAGTATCATATTAATCGTGTCATTTCATTTTAAACTGTTAACTTGTAAGTTTATGAGTTTAAATCACATATGTTAAAAAAATATCACATTTTAATTAACGTGTTTAAAATATGTTTTCTTTCGTATCATAATAAACATTTGATGTATAAATTTTTAGAAGAATATGATCAAAGATGTATGATGAAATTAACTCTTAAAAATTTGACCAAAGAAAAGTAAAGAAATAAGAAAAATAAACCTTGAATCTTGGAGCAGGGAACCTGGGAGCATGAGCAATGATGGATAACAAAGCGTCTTCTTCATCAGCCGGACAATGAGCCCTACCTTGAACCACGATCCAAGGCGTAAACACATCATCAAGGTTCAACGCCTCAACGTAAGCCTTCTGTCTTACGTTCCAATTGCCTGAGGCGTAGGGGTCTTTCCACCCCGTGTGATCGACATGGTAAGACAATGCCACCACCGGCGCATCCAGCTGGAAATCTCCCCTCACTAGCCTTGACAACAACAACTCCGCCGTCGGCGCCTTCGAACATCCTTGGGATGAGAACAACTCCACGAGGACCGGCCCGTTGGCCAAAGGCGGCGGCATTGTTGCATCGTCAATCTCCCCATTGCCTCTTCGGTTGAATGATCCGTCCACCGACGACGAACACTTGCATAAACATTTGAAGAGACGGCGCCCCATGTAGCACGTTGACGATAACGACGATGATGATGATGGTCGTCTCTTTGTCTCCGTCTCTCGCAACGATGGTTTAACGGCGGCCAACCATTTCACAACAAAAGGGAAAGAGATTTGATTTTCAAAATGTGTGTGTATATAGTTGTCTATGTGTAACCTATGGGTGTTATGGTAATATTCAGTAACAATAACAATGATAAAACAGTAAAAAATTTCTTTGAGAAACAGTGAAAAAGAAGAAAAATTAACATTATGGTAACTTCAAAGTGTGGTCGGGAGGGAAACATGGCGAGGAACATGTCAACTTTTTGTCTATTTTTTAGGTATTTTTTTGGTATAATTCTTGTTTTAGTACTTAGATTATCGTCGCTCAGACAAAAGATGGATCGTTAATTACTGTTTAGGTCTGACTATAATAATAATCAATTAATCAAATATTGATCCGTATTGGAGTGTTCTAACGATTTATGATTTATAAATTTAAAAAACACGATTACACAAATTAAGCTCAATTTTATTTTGAGTAAATTACACGTTTAGTACTTAAATTATCAGTTTTGACCCGTTTTAGTACTTAACTTTCAAAATTATCAAAATCATGCCTAAAGTTTAGATTTTGTTTCATTTTAGTACACCACCATTAAAAAGTTTAATTTAGTTTCATTTTAGTATTCCGTTCAAAATTTAACATTAAGTTTTGAAAAATTGAAAGTTTAGTTACTAAAACGGACCAAAAATGATAGTTTTGGTACTAAACGCCTTAAGTTTTTAATGGTGAGTACTAAAATGAAATGAAAACTAAACATTAGGTATGGTTTTGAAAAAATTAAAAGCTTAAGTACTAAAACGGATCAAAACTGATAGTTTATGTATTAAATTCATAATTTAACCTTTTACTTTTTACTTTTTATTCAATTTATAATTAATTTTAGTTTTTGTAATGTAAAGATGATTTTTTATAAAGACGAATCTATTTAAAAGGTGCGAGGCGTTGTCTCTCGATTTTTTTTTTTGGTATAATAATATTTTTAGTACCTAAACCTGTTCTTAAATTAAATATTAATAAAATAAAATTATTATATCTCTTTCAAATTGAAATTAAAATACATAATAAACCTTTTTTTTTTGGGTTGTAAAGGGAGCAAATACGCTAAACTAATATAGACTGCTAATCCTATCTGCTTCTAAAATAGACCGTATAGTATTCGGTGCTTGCGTGAATCTATGAAGATTATCGTGAAGGGTCCATGCCTGTGTTGCCATGACATCAATTGCTCCATTGATTTCTCGTGGGATATGAGTCAACGTGGTTGTCCAGTCCCTTTCACGTAGTTCAGCTATATGTTGTAGTATGGTAAGTGGTCGGCCGTCCGTGTCTTCTTCCTGTAATAATTTCACGGCTTCGCTGCTGTCCGTTTCTATGGCATCGAGCTTCTCCCCGGCATCCCAGGGACCTTTGAATATTCCCCATAGTTCTGCTGCTAGAGCTGGGCATGTACCTACTTTTTGGTAAATCCCCGTAGCCATTGACCTGTATGGTTTCGAGCAATACCTCCGCAGGCGGCTTCACCTGTGTTTGTTTTTCTTACTCCATCTGTATTTATTTTGCACCATTGTGGATCAGGTAGTTTCCATGTGGAGGGGCTTGGGATCTGCCTGATGCTCCTAGTTAACTGTGAGCTCCTTGAATTTGAGATTTCATGAACAATGCGTTTTGCTTTCTCGATGACAGTGTCCTGCTCTACTATTTCAGGGTCAAACATGGATTTGTTTTGTTTTTCCCACAGGCTCAATAAGATGGTGCTAAAAAGGTGGTTCCATTGTTTAATCATTAGCGATGTTGCATTTAACCAGGTCAAGTTCTGATATAGCCAGGTGTTATAATATCGGAATGATTATTGGCAAACAAATAAACATGATCGAAAAAGGAAAAAATAACACTAAGATTTTACGTGGAAAATCCAAAAGGGAAACACCATGAGCAGAGGAGAAGAATTCCACTAATATGAACGAATAAAATACAAGAGGATTTTGATGAAATAAAAAACTTAATATCTAACCCTTTACCTTAGTATCTATTTATATGGATAGATATAAATAGATACTTGATTGCAAAGAAAAATTAAATAAAGTATAAATCTACTTTAATAAAGTTATCTACTTTTAATCAAACTAGGATTCTTACTTTACCAAATTTAAATGTTAATTTGTGCCACTTTGAATTTGAGTCAAACACTAATAAATCTTCACATTGACGTGAATTTTGAAAGTGTGAAGGTTTCGAGATAAAAACACTCAAATTCGATGAGACACTCAAATTCAACAAAAAAGTGAGTCTTCACTTTAACGAACAAGTTCTTCACCTCTTCCACAACACCCGTCAAAGGGGTAGTCTTCAACAATGGATACCGATCGAATCCAAGCTTTTTTATGGTTGGATTTAGCCTTCACATCGACATCATTATCATAAGTGCCAACTTTGCTCATAAATGTATCACAATGGGAAATATCATATACAATAAAATCCCAATCATCAATGATAATTCTATCTTCAAATTCGTTATGCCCACGAATTTGAACTCTTTTCTGCTTCACATAATTGTTATGTCTGTGATTATCTTGTTCAACAAAAAGTTTTCTTTTGCTAGATTTAGTCAAGACGTTTTTACCAATAACAACGTTATTAACATGGGAGATGAAACATCAGCTGTATTATCTAAAATTGTTGAAACCTATAGAACATAAAACTTGGCAGTCTTTCTTTACCATTTTATCACAACAATAGAGTCCTTGCAAATCTTCATAGTTCTACCCTCACTGGAGAATTTGTACCCTTTTGAATCAAGGGTACCTAACAAAATTAGATTTCTACTCAAATCTGGAACATATATCACATTATCAAGTGTTCAAGCAATCATATCAAACATCTTAATCTTGATTGTGCCAATACCTGTGACTTTACAAGAGACATTATTTCCCAAAAATACATCACATGTAGATACAACTTTATATGTGGCAAACCAGTCAAGATTAGGAGTCATATGAAAACTACTACCAAAGGCAAGTATTCACTCATCACTTGTTATAGAGTTGTCTACAGCCGCAACTAGGAGTTATCTGTCATCACACTCCTCTACTAGAACAACCTCACTAGATTTTTCGGAGTTTTTCTCTTTAGCTTCTCTCTTAATTTTATTTTGTAACTTGTAACAGTTCGATTTAACATTACCTTTCTTTTTGCAAAAGTGACAAGGTTTTACCTTGGTTAGAAGATTTTGATATGCCCCTCCCTTCATTACAAGAAGAACGCTCGCCTTTTCTTTCATGGTCTAAGCTAGTCGATCCATGTACCACAAGATGCTTCATCTTATTAAACAAGTGCAGGCCATTGTATTATTCCTCAAGAGTGAGTGTTTCACAACTGCACAAAATTGTGTCTCTAAAAGATGAGTAGAAATGAGGCAGTGAACACAAGAGGACCAACCCTAAATCTTCTTGATCATACTTCACTTCTAAAGTCTCTAGATCAGAGATTGTTTCCTTGAATGCAGTTAGGTGCATTTCAAGAGATGAACATTCCACCAACTTGAGCGAATAAAGACGTTTCTTTAAGTGCAACTTACTGGTTAACGATTTCTGCATGCATAGTTGCTCCAATTTCGACCACAAAGAATCAGTCATTTTTTTTTTCTTTCAACACCTCCTATAAAACTTGATTTGATAAGTGTAAAAGGATCTGAGATAGGGCTTTACAATCCATTCGCTTTTCTTCGTTCATCCAATCTGACGATGTCTCATTATCAAACTATTTCAATGCATCATATAAGTTTAATTGTACAAGGACATTCTGAATCTTCACATGCCACAAAGAGAACATGGTGTTTCGATCCAACATCGAAATATAATACTTTATTATTGTCATAATCTTGAACCTGAAGCTCTAATACTAATTTGTCATAATATCGGAACGATTATTGGAAAACAAATAAACATGATCAAAAAAAGGGGAAAAAGAACACCAAGATTTTACATGAAAACCCCAAAAGGGAAAAAACCATAATCAGAAGAGAAGAATTTCACTAATATGAATGAATAAACTACAAGAGGATTTTGGTGAAAGAAAAAACTTAATATCTAACTCTTTACCCTTGGTATATAATTATAGGGATAGATATTTGATTACAAAAGAAAACTAAATAAAGTAGATATCTACTTTAATGAAATTATATAATTTTAATCAAACTAGGATTCTTACTTTCACAAATTTAAATATTAATTTGTATCACTTTGAATTCGAGTCAAACTCTAACATCAAGTCCGTATATTGCCATGAAGAAATGTACTGAGTTTATCTGGTGTTGTACCCTAATTCTGTCCAGTTAATTTAGCCTGAATTGGAAGCAATTATTGGTGAGGTAATTTCCAAGATGTTCCGATGGTGTTAAGGAATTAATATATGAGAAGTGACGGTTTTCAAATTAAGCATGAACGTTGAAGGACTAATTCGGCGTTATTCAAATGTGGGTCCAGTGTTGGACTTCAATTATTGTAAATGTGGGGAACGAAGCTAAAAACGAAACATGGTTCAAACAATTTCTTTGACAGTTTGTGCCAAGATCTCATAAGCCCAAATCCCTAAAGACCAAATCAGTCCATTAAGTTCAAATGCCCAGTCCATCATTTACAAACCATATTCATTTCCCAATTAATCCAACTATTCAAACCCAATACATTTAACCCAATCACATATTTGCCCCAAATGAACCCAAATAGTTACAACAACTGTGTAACCCTAGCCAGTTCAAGCAAAACCGCCGCCTCATGCCAGCTCCCCTGGTTTCCCTTCTAGCAACTTCCACGCATACACAGCTGTCCTGAGTTCAAGAGCCTCCAGCTCACCAAGTCAGTAGGAATCCCTCGTCAACGTGACATGCAAGGCCAAAAAAAAACAGATCGGTCCTTTTTAAAAAATTTCACTATGGAAGTCTGTAAAAAAAATGAAGGGTTATAAAAACCCAAGATTGAGATCTTTAAGGGGACTCTCTCACCAGATTTTTGGAGAAATACCAAGTAATGTAACAAGGAACCCATTTTCGAAAGAATACGACGAGCATTCTTTTCTCTTTCATCTTTTTACGAAAGCAATACAGCAGATTTATTTTTGAAGGTTTCTCTTTTTTTCATATATATATTTTTGTAGCAATTTTTTCTTACCTCATTTGCAATTTCTTTCGAAACAAAACTAGGAAAAGGAGGAGTGTTTGTTTACCTGAGCGTCGAGTCTCGTCGGAATTGGGATCATCGGGAGAAGAAGCTGAAGCATCGAAGGCCATTTTGGTCGGTTAAAGAAGGGTTATCCTAGATCTAGGTTTCATTTTGGGATTGCAAACAAAAGGTGGGGTTTGGGTTCTGCCCTAGGTTGTTTTAGGTTCGATTTAGGTTTTAATCGGCCACCGTTGGCGGTTGTCGATGGTGAGCACGGCATCGGTTTTCCAAGGAATAAGCGGCCGAGAGTTGTTGGACGAGTTAGGGAGGAGATGTGAGTATTCTAGGCTTTGATTTGGGTTTAGAAAGGAAAAGAGAGAATTTGTTTTAGTTGGTTTTGACATCGGTCCGATCACCATGCGCGGTGTCGGAAAGTAAAGTACTGTTTAGTTGGTTCACAAATTTCATTTCCGGTAATATAAGATTATAAATAGTAACTTTTTTTTAGATATATTACCGTGAATGTTATTATCTCTTTTTCTTTAGGTATTATTGGATTACCAGTATTTTGGACTAAAATGTCTTTAATTTTTTTTTAAAAATATCTTTTTTTCTTTAATTTTTTTTTAAAAATATCTTTTTTTTTGTAATTGAATAATAAAAATTCTACGAAAATTAAATTATAAATTTATTCTTAAACTATTTAGATTTACAAATAAATTATAATTAAAATATTATATGAAGTTAAGGGGTTAAAATAAATTTTACCTTTTTATTAAATCATTTTATATTTTCAATTTTGTAAAAAAAAATTATATAAATTTTATGAATTTAAATTTTTTAAAGAAAATATATAAATATTTTTTAACTTGTTAAAAAAATAAATATATAATAAAGATAATTTGATTAAATATACATTCCAATAATCTTTTATTTCTTTAACCAAATACGGTAATCTTATATTCCTGCTAAGCCAACCAAATACAAAATACAACATTCTCAATAATCATATTCCCCGGTAATCTTACATTCTCATTGATAATCTTACATTCCGTGAATCAAACGCACCCTTAGACGGCGTTTCGATTGGGGAATGTGGGATTCCCTCGGGAATGGAATCCACATTCCCCCGTTTAGTTTGGCAGGGAATGTCATTCCCGGGGAATGTCATTCCAGGTAATATTTTATTACCAATAGTGGATTTTTTGGGGTATATTATCGGGAATGTCATTACATCCATTCCCTTAGGTATTGTTTACCTAAAATGCCCTTAAATTTTTATTTTTTTTCAAAAATATCATTATTCTGTAATTGAATAATAAAAATTCTACGAAAGTTAAACTACAAATTTATCATTAAATTATTTTAGATTTACAAAAAAAATATATATAATTAAAATTTTATATGAAGTTCAGGGGTTAAAATAAAATTTTACCCTTTCATTAAACCTTTTTTATATTTTTAATTTTGTAAAAAAATTATATAAATATTATGAATTTAATTTTTTAAAGAAAATTTATAAATATTTTACAACTTGTAATATTATACAAATATATAA